AACCCGTTGTTCTTATTCTCGCACTTTGCTCCAGTCAGTCCCCCTCCACTTAATGAACTTGCAAGGATTGAGAGCGACAACACACCGAACAGAGAAACGGTCCGGAACGTCCACGCCCGAACCTCTATGGTTGGATCACTTTCGTTATTACCCCGGCCGGCATTTTTCCCTGGTCGCGACATTAAACAAAAACTCACCTGACCTATTGCGGCCAATGACGCTACTGGTCCGCGGCCGATAATATATCTGGTAATAACTGATCTGCATTTAGTGGTCTCCATTTAATGGCTTGCGCCTTCCGCGATTCGAACCAGCTTGCTGTATACTCCGTCCTTGATTGCCATTAGTTGTTGATGGTTGCCCACTTCTGCAATTTGAGAGCCACGAGTGTTGTGGTTCACGAACACCACGATGTAGTCACAGTCGCGGATGGTGCTTAATCTGTGGGCGATGACGAGGGCGTTGAACTTCTTTGTGGCAAGCAGCTTGTTGAGAGCTTCCTGAACCACTTTTTCGCTGGCGGCATCCAGAGCAGAGGTCGCCTCGTCCAAAATAAGCAGCTCCGGCTTCTTGACGAGAGCCCTGGCGATGGCTATTCGCTGCTTCTGTCCACCAGAAAGCCTTGAGCCGCCACGGCCGACCTCTGTGTTGAGTCCTTCAGGCATGTCCTGGACGAAGCCCCAGGCGTTCGCCTCGCGGCACGCTTCAATAATGTCCTCCTCCGAAGCTTCCGGGTTGCCGTACAAAATGTTGTCGCGGACCGACCCACTGAACAGGCTCGGCTCCTGCGAGACCAGACCGATTCTGGATCTGAGCCCCTTGACGTAGTAGTCACGGATGTCGACCCCGTTTATTGTGATCTTGCCGAACGACTGGCCCTCTTTCGTAAAGACGTCGTAAAATCTCTCGACCAGCTGCACCGCAGTAGACTTGCCGCAGCCCGAAGCACCCACGAGTGCCACGCTCTTGCCTCGGGGAACGCTGAAACTGATGTTTCTGTAAATCGGAAGGTTCGGTCTAGTGGGGTACTTGAAGGCGACATTGCTGAACTTGACTTCTTCGATGGCCCCCGGCGTGGGGTCCATTGAATTGTCTTCGTCAATTTGCGGAAGCCTGTCAACGACGGTCCACACGTTCCGAGCCGCATTCTTGCCAAGAGAGTAAGGGACGTTACCAGCCAGACTTCTGCCCACTTGCAGTCCTGCCAGCAAGAAGGACATGCACCCTCGCATCATGTCGACGGCATTCAACCCTTCGTTGGCCATCAGTGTCGCGCCGTAGTAGAAGAGAAGGGTGAAGGCAGCCAGTCTTAACATGTTGCTGGTGCCAATCGCTATACTACCAATGAGGGCGCGTTTCCGTCCCTCCTTGAGCAAAATGTTTACCATCTCGTCGAACTCGGCCTCGCACTGAGGCTGCATGTTGTACGCCGTGACCGTCCTGATATTGAGGATAACGCTGGTCACGTAAGCACTCATATCGCCCATAGTTCTAGTTAGCTTGTCCTCGCCCTTCGTCAGTCGGATGCTCCCCCCTGTGGTCACAAGAGTGCTCGCCACGTACGTAATCGGGACCAGGGCCGCTATGATGGCAAGTGCTACTCCACCCAGCTTCAGGTTTACCTGCAAGCACAGTACTAGGCCGAGAATCAAACTTGCGCTGACACCCAACCACATGGTGGTGTTGCCTGCAGTCCACTCCCCCAACAGGAACGTGTCCGCTCCCAAGATGTGGCCTAACCGCGCAGGGGACCTGTGCGGCTGGTCGAAGAAACCCATCTCCTGTTTCATAATGCCACCAAAGACACCTTCACGCGCCTGGCGGACCACGGCCTGGCCGCTCTGCGAGACGAACCAGCGCTGTCCCCAAAAAGTCACAAACGAGCCGATGCCGATGCAGAGCATAATGATCGTATTATTTCTGGACTCGCGCTTGAGCCTGTCCGGGTTCTCCGCATCCACAAACGTCTTCAAAAATGTACCGTAGCATGCTCCATAAATTGGCCAGATGCATTGGTATGCGATGTAGCACACGACGCCCAGGATGTGCTGCACCATCTTGGACTTAATCGGGGCTGCAGTCCTTCTGAACAAACGCGGGGGCTTGTAGTCGGCAGTAAAGACCAAACTCTCTTGACGCGCGACGTCACCGAGCTGCTTGCTCAACTGCGTCCGCATCTCGAAGCTGCCACCCGTCCTGCTATTCTGATGCAACTTGCTGTTCTGACGCAGCTTGCTGTTCTGATGGTATGACTTGCTGTTCTGCTTACTCATCTGTCTCGACAGGATGCCACCCACCAGTATTGCCGACTCCTGTGGACTGTAATCATACGCTCCTTGTCCTCCAGAGGCCTGCAAGGCCCGGTCCGTTTCATCCTCTTCAGTAGGCCCCTCTGTTTGGATAGCGACTAAGGCGGCATAAATGCCATCCGGTATTTTGCTGAGCTCTTCGTGGGTCCCCAGTTCCACCACAGAGCTCCCAGTCATCTCTTCCAGCTCCTGTCCGCCACCATCACCGGAGTTGCTATGTCTGTCCGTGGGGTTATTCAGCACGGCAATGACATCTGCGTTGCGGACGGTCGTTAATCTATGTGCAATGATGATAGTCGTAATCTGGGACTTGCTAACAATGTCGTCGAGCGTTTCCTGGACCATCTGCTCCGACTTGTTATCCAGAGCACTTGTAGCCTCGTCCAAGATGAGGATTTTGGGTCTCTTGATCAAGGCTCTAGCGATGGCCACCCGCTGTTTCTGACCACCTGACAGCTGGTTGCCACCGTCACCGACCCACGTATCGTACCCATCCGGGAGGGCCGAGATGAACTCGTGCGCATTGGCTTTTCTCGCGACTTCCTCAATCTCTTCGCGAGTCGCATCAGGTTTCCCAATCGCGATATTCTCGGCGATGGACGACGCAAATAACTTCGGCTCCTGACCAACCCAGGCAATGGTTTCCCTCAGCGCTTTCACATTGTACTCGGTAAGCGGGCGACCGTCAAGCATTACCAACCCGGACTGCGGATCGTAGAACCTCATGACGAGCTGAATCACGGTGGACTTGCCGCAGCCAGAGGCTCCAACTAGCGCTATACTTTTCCCCGCGGGTATCGTGAGGTTCAGCCGCGAGAACACCGGTACGTCGGAGCGCGTCGGATAGGCGAAGGCGACGTTCTCCAGCTTTATTTCCCCCTGCACGTT